TGGTCCTGAACCCCCAGGCTTGATGATTCTCTCTCACAAGATGTTTGGTTGTTTCTGAGAAGTTACTCCAACCCTGTCTTCTGTTGCTTCTGTGATGTATGTGGCTAATGTTGTAGCACAAGTGCATATGTAAGATTATCTGTAGCCACATCTATCCTTAGTCTAGGGTGTATTCCTGTTCACCCAACCCCATCTGCTCTTCTCACCTCTCTACCCATTAATCCGTAGCCTGGAATTTGGTGCTAGTCGTACTGCAGTGTTGTGTATGTAATAGTATTTCCCTTTGTTGTCCATATCTTTTGTGTATATTTCAGTGTCTTTCCTTTCCCCATTGTCACCTTGCTGGTCACAGACTCTTTCCATACCATTTCTCACCTCACCCAAATCGACATGTGACGATCAAATAGTCTGAGATTTTCTTTCCCCTTCCCTCCCATCCTTGGTAACCAACAAAGTGAGTTTCCTTCCCTGAATAAACTTTCCTTGACTTTTCACAATAGTGGGCTCATACAGTATTTGTCCTTCTCTGATTAACTTATTTCACTCAGCATAATGTCCTCTAAATTCATCCATGTTTCAAGATGATTCATGTATTCTTCATTATTCTTTAATGTTGCATGGTATTCCGTTATATGAATGTACCATAGTTTTATTATCTAATAATCTGTTGATGGGCATTTTGGTTGTTTCCATCTCATTGCTATAGTGAATTGTGCTGCAGTGAACATGGGTGTGCATATGTCTGTTCATGTTCTGTCTCTCACCTCTTTAGGATATATTCCTAGTAATGGAATTGCTGGATCAAACAGTATTTCTATTTTCAGTTTTTTAAAGAAATGCCATACAATTTTCCACAATGGTTGTACCATTTTGCAGTCTCACCAGCAGTTTATGAGAGTTCCAATCTCTCCACAGCCTTGTCAACATTTATTTTCTGTCTTATTGAACTTTGCTATTATTGCTGGGGTGAGATGATATCTAATTGTTGTTTTGATTTGCATGTCTCTAAGGTGTTCGGGTAGTGTAGTGCCTAAGGCATTTGACTGCTAAACAGAAGGCTGGTGGTTCAAACCCATCAGCCACTCCTCAGAAGGAAGGTTGGGCAATCTACTTCCATAGTGATACCACCTCGGAAACCCAAGGAGGGGTCACGATCAGTCAGGTTCGACTCGATGCCAGTGAGTTTTGGTTTTATAAAACTGTTGTAGAGTTGTCTGTTTTTCCTTTCAATTCAGTTAATATTTACTTTATGTATTTTGGAGTTTTTCGTTGGGTGTATTAATATTTATTATGCCAATGTTCTCATGGTCAGTTGACCCTTTTAGCCTCATATAGTTTCCTTCTTTGTCCCTTATGTTGTTTTTCACCTTGAAGTCTACTTTATTAGAAATTAATACTGCCACTCCTGCTGTGGTTTTGGTTGCCATTACCCTAATATATTTTTTCCACCCCTTAATTTTTAATTTATTTTTATCTTTGTCTCTCTTGTAGGCAACATATCAATGGATCTTCTGTTCTTAATCCAATCTGTCACTCTATTTCTCTTGACTGATGCATTTATTTAGTCTGTTCACATTGAGTGTAATCAGTGATATGTATGAATTTATTGGTGTCATTCTATTGTGTTTTTTGTTGTGTTGTTGGTGAATTTTCCTTGATCCGACTATTTTTCTGTGCTGAGTTCATTTTGTTATCAAGTGTTTTTTCTCTTTTCTTCATTATTGTTGGTTTTGTGCTTACTAAGCTCTTATACTTTTCTTTTTTTCTGAGTTTGCTTAGGATTGTTAATTATCTTTTTGGTTACCCTGAGGTAAATTCTTACTGGAACAGTCTGTTCTATAAAGACATTGTCCTGTCTTCATCTCCATTTGGAAGTTTTGTAATTAAAAGTTTTATTCCCTCTATTTGCTTTGTTGCTGGTGTCATCTGCAGATTGACTCCCTTATTTCTCTATGTACATTTCTTATGAGCTTATTTTGAGGATCTTTTTCTGGTTTGGTTTCCGAGTAGTGGTGTCAAGCATCTTGATTTTAATTTGTTATTCTCTGTTGTGGGTTCTCTATTGGAAAGAGTCTCTTTAACATTTCTTGTAGGGCTGAGCTGATTTTCACAAATCCCCTTAATTTTGTTTGTTTGAGAATGTCTTGTTTTCACCCTCATATTTGAGGGACAGTTTGGCTGGATATACAATTCTTGGTTGGTGATTCCTTTCCTTCAAGACTTCATATATGCCATCCTACTGCCTTCTTGCCTGAATGGTTTCTGCTGAGAAATCAGAGCTTAGTCTTAATTGGCTGTCCATTGTAGGTGACATTTTGTTTTTCCCGAGCTGCTCCCAAGATTCTTTCTTTGTCTTTGGTTTTAGAAAATTTGATTTTGATATGTCTTGTGAGTTTCTCTTAGGATCTATCTTATATGGGGTTCATTGTGCTTCTTGGATGAATATCCTTTCTTCCTTCATGATATGTGGAAAATTTTCTGTTAGCAAGTCTTCAACAATTTTCTCAGGTTTTTTTTTTTTTTTTTTTTTTTTTAATCTCCTCTTGTTCTGGTATTCCAATCAGGTGTATGTTGTTTCTTTTCATGTCATCACATATAACTCTTAATTCTCTTCATTTCTTTTAAATCTTTTTTCTGATTTTTCTCCATACAGGCTGGCATTAAGGGATATGTCTTCTAGCTAAGAAATAAATGTGTTCTTCAGACAGTTCTAGTCTACTCTTTTATCCTTCCACTGCGCTATCTCCATAATTTTAGTGTTCATCTTCTGGATTTCTAATTGCTGTTTTTCTATGTGTTCTAATTGTGTATTTATCTTGTTATTTTGTTCTTGAATTATTTTCCTGAATTCTTCCAGGCTATTATTTGTCTTCTCATTGTTTCTATTTATGGTTTCCTTGAGCTCTTGGAGGGTCCTATATTTGTACCTTCTGAATTCCTTCTCATATGGTTCTATTGCTTGTTCTTCCTCTAAAACACATAAATAATTCTTTACTCTGGACTTTTGTTTCTATTATTGTGTCCTGTTTTTCTGTTTGATTTGAGGTTGTCTGTTGTTTCCTAAACATTTTGCAGTTGTCTTTAATTTTTAGCTATGTATTGATTTGCTTCACCCTGATTTTATGTTTTACTATATCTGGGTGTGTGTAGCAGGTGTACTTCTTAGGTTATTAACTCAACTGTACTGGGTCACTCTCCAGCTATCTCTGTGTTGGTGTAATCAATGGTGGGATTGTGGGTGCAGATCTCTATTTGTTGTGAATAGGATTTGGTGTTAGGATGGACAGGTGTTGTCTACCCTCTGTCATTGATCATGTGGCACAGGAGCTACTGCTGTTACCAATCTATTGGATGAGGTGTTCTGTGTAGTAGGTACAGTTGCCTAGTGGAGGCAACTCCTGTTGAATGAAGCAGGGAGAAAAGGAAAAATTAAAAAAAATTTAAAAAAACCTCCAGAAGCAAACCTCAGCATAAAAAAGCAGAAAGAGTTTTCTACATTTGGGCCACGATAATTCAGTCAGCAATTCAGGCACAGGCAGGGCAGCCTGGGGCCTTTTGGGGGCCTCTGTTAAAAATGGTATCCAGCTGTCAATCAAAGATTTGTCGTTAAACTCTGAGAGTAGTCCCAAAGGAAAGAGTGTTACCCCTCCCTGGGTGGACTGACAAGCCGCAAAAACCCAGTGCATAGATCCAATCCGAGCCACAAAGGGTTTCCAGGAGATGCCATGCACCCGCTCCAGGGCTCTGCCTACTCAGAGGGCACTTCTCCCTTTGTCCCACTCTGCTCCGTACTCCCTGGCCACCCAAGTCAAGGGGGAGGAGTCCCAATCTGTTTCCCAGTAAGATCTTCACTCCCCCTCAAAGTCCTAGCTCACCCCAGAAAAGCTCATGGTGCAGCTTTTCTGTGTCTGCAGCGCCTGTGAGTTCTGCAGTGTTTTTGTTTTTTTTCTTTTGGTTGACTTGCCTATTTTCCCCAGTTGTTTAACATGCTCTCTTTCTTTGCTTTCACTAGATCTAATACTTTATCTTCTTAGTTGCTCATAACTCCAGTATCTTTATTTGTAACCACTTTACCTAGTTGCCCTGGGTCTCAGATGGAAAAGGGAGTGATCATGCATATTATCTGTATGATGCTGTCTTCCAAAAGCCATATGGAAGGCTCTCAATCAAGTGTATACTGAATGAATGAATATTTTTCTTCCTTGCTATGGTCCAAGAGCACTGTCTGCTCAGAGTCTGCCCTGTCCTGTCCTCTGCAGTGTTGCATCCTCCTCCTCAGAATCTTTTTTCTCTCCTCTTCTCTTCCCTTTCCTCTCAACCCTGCTCTTTCTAACCTCATCATTTATGCAGCAATATTTACCAGCAAGGCTCAGCAAAATACGGACAGTTTAATGGAAGTCTTCAATGCCTGGCCCCAATGCAGGGACTCTAGCGGCAGAAATCTTAGAATCCCCAGCAAGTTGGGGTAGAGGAAAGGGGGCAGGATGAAGATTCTGCAGCTGAGCCCTTGTCAGGGTCTGCAGGCCCAGCCAGTTACCCGTCCTCTGTGCTTCAGGCTCTCCTGGCCTCTCCTTAGCTGGCTTTTGTCATTCAGAACAAGTTGTAGCAAGAAGTTTTCAAAACTCTTAGTGGGAACATCCAGGAAGCTCCTGAGGCTTGGGATCCAAGCTGAGGTCCTCCACTGCCTCCTTGGGAGCAAGCAGCCCGGATACACCGGAGTAGAGTGTAGGACTGTTCAGTCTCCATATAACTGAATAGAGTTTAAAACAGAATGTGATGGAGAGGGAGACATGAGGATTTAGTGCTAATTCATGAATCCCAAGGGCTGACTCACACCTGGGCCTCAGAAGCATGTGGCCTGGCAAAATGAAGGACAGGAGGCTCTGTGTTAGACACCCCTCCAGCTTAGATCTCTGCTCTTCCCTTGCACTTCCAATGGTATCTCAACTCCTTACCTGGACTGTAAAGCCAAGATCGTTGGGTATTTCTACTTTTTGTAGGTTGAAGAGCTTCTGTGCAATCTGAATAGCATTTTATATGATACAGTGAAAATGAGGGAATTTCATGAAGATCCTGAGATGCTTATGGACCTCATGTACAGGTAAGCTTTTCTGGAAAAATCAAAAGGGGCTCACTGGAGGGTCTAGGATTTGTCACTGTGGAGTCCTTACTAATGTGATGTTCACGGGCAATATGGATACACTGTTTTGGATGACAGCCAGTAGAAATTAATAGAAATTAAACACTCAGAGTGGGTTGACCCATCTATAAGTTTTCGAAACCACCCCCTAATTCAAAGCGAGGAACTTATTTTGTAACAGTGTCTTCTACTTTTCGGATTCCTGGGTGGTGTAAATAGTGAATGTGTTTGACTGCTAACCAATAGGTTGGCAGTTTGAGTCCACCCAGAGGCACCGCAGAGGAAAGGCCTGGCAGTCAGTTTCTAAAAATTCAGCCATTGAACACTGTGGAGCACAGCTCTGCTCTGACACACACTGGGCCACCATCAGTCGGTCGACTCCCTGACAACTGGTTTATCTTCCACCTCCCACAGAGTGAGAGAAAAAAAGATCAATTGTTATGTAAATTATTTCCTAGATAGTTTTTGTTCTAATCATATCCTAACACAGCTATTAGTTTGACTTTAGCAATCATGTTGTACTCTGTAGTTTAAAATCCATCCTTGCAGTCTTGGTTCAGGAGAAACTATTTACAAAGGAAGAATGGTCCTGATGCATATCGTAAGAGGGGAAATACTTTTGTGTTCTGTTGTTATTTTGAAAGGAACAAAAAGGAATCCGTTAAAATCTACATCACCTATCAGGTGTGTTTTCTCATAAAGTTTTTTTTTTTTTTTTTGATTGTTGTTGTTTTGTACCATTCAGTAGATTTCAACTCAAAGCAAACCCATGCAACAGAGTAGAACTGCCCCATATGGTTTTCTAGGCTGTAATCTTTGTGGGAGCAGATCACCAAGTCTTTTTCCCACAGAGCTTTTGGTGGTTTGAACTGCCTACCTTTCGATAGGCAGCCAAGTGCTTAAGCATTGTACCACCAGGGCTGCTGTAAGTTTTTACTAAATGATGTTTTGTTGGCTCTAGCTCACCTAGACATGGCATGAAAACAGCTAGGTTGATAAATATTTGCCTTTTCTCTCATGTTTTAAATATGTAGCAAAATTTGGGGGGAGAAGATATGACTGAAGGGAAAAAGTTGCTACACACAGTAGAATAATAGTGTCACAGACCGGTTGTCTTTCTCATTCTGTCGTCAGAATTGCCAAGAGCTACCAGACTTCTCCTGACCTGCGGCTGACCTGGCTGCAGAACATGGCAGAGAAGCACACCAAGAGGAGGTGCTACACGGAGGCCGCCATGTGCCTGGTGCATGCAGCTGCCCTGGTGGCCGAGTACCTGAGCATGCTGGAGGACCACAGCTACCTGCCCGTGGGCAGCGTCAGCTTTCAGGTGCAGAGTGAGCTCAGCTTTTAATTTGGAGCAGTGGTTCTCAAAGGGAGGCAATTTCGCAGTCCCTAGGGAGCACTTGGAGACATTTTTGGTGTCACAACTAGGGGTGTGGGGAGGGTGCTACTGCCATCTAGTGGGTAGAGGCCAGGGATGCTGCTGAACATCCTAAGTACACAGGACATCCCTCTCACAAAGAATTATCCAGCCTCGAACGTCAATAGTACCAATCCTTTTACCATGTTATTTGTTTATTTATTTTTGTTTACTATAATAATACCCATCCTACTTCCATAGTGACACTGCCTCGGAAACCCAAGGAGGGGTCGCTATGAGTCGGGTTTGACTCTACGGCACATAACAACAACAACATAATAATACCCTAAGGCATCTGACTGGTAACCAGAATGTTGGTGGCTCAAACCCACCAGCTGCTCCACATGAGGAAGATGAGGCAATCTACTTTCGTAAAGATTTACAGCTTTAGAAACCCAATGGGGGTTGCTATGAGTCAGAATCTAATTGATGGCAGTGGGTTTGGTTTTGGTTTTTGGTATAATAATAATTGAAGTTGACAAGGATTTCATTTTGCTTGAATTTAATCAACACCCATGGAAGCAACAGTCAGGAAATCAACTGATATATTGCACTGGGCAAATCTGTTGCAAAAGACCTCTTTAAAGTGTTAAAGAGCAAAGATGTCACTTTGAAGACTAAGATGCTTCTGAACCAAGCAGTGGCCTTTCAGTTGCCTCATATGCATTTGAAAGCTGGAAAATGAATAAGAAAGACTGAAGAAGAGTTGATGCCTTTGAATTTTGTTGGTGAAGAATACTGAAAATACCATGGAGTGCCAGAAAAACAAATACATTTGTTTTGGAAGAAGTCTAGCCGGAATACTCCTTAGAAACAAAGATGGCAAGAGTTTGCCTCTTATACTTTGGACATGTTTTTGGGAGGAACCAGTCCCTGGAAAAGGACATCATGCATGATAATGTAGATGATCAGTGAAAAAGAGGAAGACCCTTAATGGGATGGATTCACACAGTGACTTCAACAATGGGCTCAAGCATTGCAACACTTGGGAAGATGGCACAGGACCAGGCAGTGTTTCGTTCAACTGTATATGAAGTCACTCTGAGACGGAACTGACTCAATGGCACCTAACAACAACAACAACATAATAATAATAATAATAATAGTCAATTGCTATCGAATCAACTCTGATTCACGATGACCCCATGTGTATCAGAGGAGAACTGTGGTCCGTAAGGTTTTTAATGCCTGGTTTTTCAGAAGTAGATCATCAGGCATTTCTTCTGAGGCACCTCTGGGCAGACATGAACCTCCATTCTTTCTGTTAGCAGCCGAGTATGTTCACTGTTTGTACCACCCAGAGACTCCAATAATAATGATGATGTCTACAGTATTACCACCTACATTATAATATTATTACATAATATAGCATTACTATTATAATAAGTGGTGTTGTTGTTGTTATGTGCCATCAAATTGGACCCGACTCATAGCAACCCATCCTTGAGTTTCTAAGACGATATCACTGTGGAAGTAGATTGCCCAACCTTCCTTCCAAGGAGTGGCTGGTAGGTTTGAACCGCCAGCCTTCTGGTTAGCAGTCAAGTGCCTTAGGCACTACGATATCAGAGCTCTGTTGTTGTTGTTATTATGTGCCATTGAGTTGGACCTGACTCATAGCGAACCCTCCTTGGGTTTCCGAGGCAGTATCATTATGGAAGTAGATTGCCCAACCTTCCTTCCAAGGACTGGCTGGTGGGTTTGAACTGCCAGCCTTCTGGTTAACAGTCAAGTGCCTCCTTAGGCACTAAGCTACCAGAGCTAGTAAGTGATAATACTATAATAACAATAATGTTTACCATACCCCCCCCCGCCAAGAAAAAAACCCCAAACTCACTGCCATTGAGTTAGATCCAACTCATGGCGACCCCTCCTTGGATTCTTTCTGAGGCGGTATCTCTATGGAAGTAGATTGCCCAATCTTCCTTCTGAGGAGTGGCTGGTGAGTTTGAACCACCAGCCTTCTGGTTAGCAAATACCTTAGGCACTATGCCACCAGAACTCCCAGTATTTACCATATATAGTCCTAATGATACATAGAGTCTGTAGGCAGTTAGACACTCCGAAACACGTTGACACCCAGTATTTCATTTGACCCTGCTCTAAAATCTGTGAAGCCGACTGATACATAAGATAATAGCACGGCCATCCCACAGATGAAGAAACTGAGAGAAGAAGCAGTTTTCTCAGGTCTTTTAAACTCTTTCTTTGGTCTCAGAGACTTGTGATTGGCACAGTAGACTGACCACCATAAAAGTTTTTCCAAACACTGGAGAAATGTTTATCCTTATGGCCTATTCCTTAGTTCCACTCCCTAACTCTTTAATCAAAATCAAGAATGAACCAAATGAACCTGGGATGGAAAATGAGAAAGGCTGAAAATGACCCATAATTGGCAAGGAACTTGTCTGCTAGACCTGAGAGTTGGCTTCGACTGGTGTGGTAGCCAGTTGGATAGTTTGTACTGAATAGTCTAATGTGGTCTTTAAAATCAAGACAAAAACCAGTTGTGTAAGGACTTTTTTTTAAGATGCAATCTTTGGATATGACCATCCCTGAAACCATGAGCAATACAGCACCAGTAATAAAAGCTCTTTTTAGGCAAGATGCCCAAAGTCATCTACAGCTGTTTGCATTATTCATGTGTGAATTTACGGGACTGATTTTATGAAAGGCTTTGTTTCATTATTGTCCTTCCCACACAATTTTGTGATGTTGTCTGTGTGAACCAGAACAAGAAGACAGTTCCAAGTCACTTTCCCAGGCCTAGAGGATAAGTCACCAAAATACTGCTGGTAGAGCAGACTTCCTGGTTTCCTACGACCTGTACATCTGCCAAGCCGGGTACTGTTGCTTCTGACTGACTCCTCTTTCCTATGGTCTCCACTAACAAAAACATGTGTTCCATGACTCCATTCCCAGCAAATCAATTTATTCTCAATCAGGAAGCCTTGTTATATGCTCCTCTAAAGCCAATAGTTAAATTCTCATCCAAAAGCATAAAAAATATTACATCGGATTTTTAAATTGCATAAAAGTGAATGAGAAAATTATAAAAACTATTTTAGATTTGTCTCCTCCTTTTTTTTTTTTAACTTTGGCCATGAGTATTATCAAGAATAAATGGTGTAATACTACTCTTTTAAAGGAGCTCTGGTAGCGTAATGCCTAAGGCACTTGACTGCTAACCAGAAGGCTGATGGTTCAAAACTTGATGGCACATTAACAATAAAAACTCTTTTAAACTCAAAACTGTCGTCGAGTGAAATCTGACTCATAGCGACCCCTCCTTGGGTTTCTGGGGCAGTATCACTATGGAAGTAGATTGCCCAACCTTCCTTCCATGGAATGGCTGGTGGGTTTGAACTGGCAGCCTTCTGGTTAGCAGTCAAGTGCCTTAGGCACTATGCTACCAGAGCTCCCACTACTATTTTAATCCCCAGGTAATCTTTCAGTTTATCACTTAAGGTTGGATTGTGTCCTTTTTTTGTTTCAACAACTGAAAGATTTCTTATTATTTTTTATGCCTCATACCCAACTCAACGTGCTTTTATGTATTTTAATTTTGTTGTAGTAAATATATAAATACATAAAAGCACATTTGCCATCTCACCATCCTTTACGTGTACAAGTCAATGACTGACTTGTGTTCGTGTGGAGCAGCCATCACCGTTATCCATTTCCCAGTTTGTGCCTCACCCCTAACAGAAGCCCAGTGACCCCTAAACAATGGGGTCCCTTTTCTGCCTCCCTCCCTAGAGGGAGATCACTATCTACTTAGGTCTGTATATACTCTCCTATTCTAGATATTTCATATAAGTGAAATCATACATTTGTCCTTTTGTGATTGACTTAGTTCACTCAGCGTGATGTTTTCCAGGTTCATCCATGTTGTAGCATGTACCAGGGCTTCATTCCTCTTTATGGCTGAGTAATATTCCACTATATATATGTGCCATATTTGATATCTCTGTTGACAGACCCAATGAATATATTTTAATTATTTAAATGTTAGTTACATGTTGTAATTTATTTCTGGGTTTAGTAAGCCTTACTATGTTAAGTTTGTCTAGCAGTCAGTTGATTTGCTTATGACAAGACGTACTAACATGAGATAGAATGGATATTCCAGAGCTAACAGGAAGACTTCACATTGCCCCTGCATGGGGCATATGGCTCTATCTTCTTATATCTCTACCCATTCATTCATTATTTTAGATAATGTCTACTGAGCACTTATTCTGCCCCATTGATTTTAATTTCTAGCCATTGAAAGAGACATCATATAATCAACTAGCCCATTCTTATTCAGTTACAATTATGATAAACAATGTTTAAAAGAAGCATAAGATGCTATGAGCATCTTTCTTTCTTTCTAACTTTTTACTGTGATTTGGGTCCAATTTTACAAAACAAATTCGTTTTACATTGAACAGTTCATACACATTTTGTTTTGCAAACAATGTAACAGCTTTCCTCCTACCTCCTGCCTGTGGTTAGTTACCCTTTCCCAGTGTCCTTCTAACTATGCATTCCTGTCTGCCTGGCTTTCTTCTGTGCAAATACTGCCCTTCTGATCTCCCAAGGTTGACTGTTCCAGGGAGTGCATAGGCCTGTCTGTTGTTTGGCTGAGAGTTAAGCCACGGATTGAGTCCAATTCCAGGCCTGAAGGGTGATTCAGGACCATAGTCTTGAGGGTACTGTGAGTGTTTCTAATATGACCTAGTCTAGAGTCATGAGGCATTGGTGGTTCATTGGTAGATTTCTCACCTCCCACATGGGAGACCTAGGTTCGATTCCTGGCTAATGCATTCCATCCTCAGCCACCAAGTGTTTGTCAGTGGAGGCTTGCCTGTTGCTGTGATGCTAAACAAGTTTCAGCAGAGCTTCCATACTAAGACAGACTAGGAGGAAAGGCCTGGTGGTCTACATCCAAGAATCAGACAGTGAAAGCCCTCTGAATCACAATGGTCTGATCCACAACCAATCATGAGGATGGCGCAGGACTGGGCAGCATTTTGTTACATCGTGCATGAATGGGATCATCCTGAGTCAAGGCCAACCCTTGGCAGCTGCCAACAACAACAATGTAGCAGATCAGAGAAAACTCAGCAGGATGGGGAAGGGAAACCAGAAGGAAGAGGGAAGCATGACAGCTTCATGAACATGGGGAGGTAGGTGTGCTCAGATGTAGAAGAGAAGCCTAAAGATGCTGAGGCCTATGCATGCATTCCCTTTTCTTTTAAAGGAGACATGCCGAGTAAGTCTGCACATGTGCAGTTGCAAATGACAGAACACCGAACCTGACTGCCCTAAGCCAAAAATCTATTTTATCAACTCACCTGTGGATGGGAGCAGAGAGCACTCCCTTCAGGCCAGGCTGGCCCTGGGGCTCAAACAGTGCTACCACCACTTCCTGCCTCTGCTTTCTGCTTCCTTATCCACAGGCTCTTGTACTGGCCCAAGTCCAGGAGAAAAGATATACTCACCTTCAGTTGCTAAGGAATTCTCAAAGCATCTTATTGGGTCTAACTAGGTCATGTGCTCATCCCTGATCCAATCATAATGGCCAGGGAAATGTAGTGCTCTGATTGGCTGAGCCCAGGTGAGGGCCACACATGGAGTTAGGGGTAGTTCCCCAGAAGAAAGTCGGTATGCTTGACCTTAGAAGGATGAAGACCGTCTGCGCATGATTAATAGCAGATGCTTGGTGTTGCTTTCTTAAACACTGTTTGCATTTTTGACCTTCTACTGCTATAGTAGAATTGGGCCTTTGGAAAAGAATTAGATAGTGGAGAGAAATTAATCTATGCAAGGAAAAGAGCTTTGAGACCAGTGATTTCCAAGAAACTGAGCTATCTCAAGTTCTGTGCCCCTGGGGGTAATACTTATTTCACAAATGTGGACTAGGATGCTGTGACTTTTACCTCCTGAATTCTGAAGCCAGGATAGTCTTCCCAAAATGTGTTCTCTCTGACTACAGCTAAAAGGGCTACAAAATTCAAGTCTGTTCCTCTACATGTGGAAAATTGCATACAATTCTGGTAGTATTGGTTTCCTGGCTATTAGATTCTTTTCAGCTGAATCTTTTGGATCTTCTGTTATGTCCAATTCAGAAGCATCAGCATAGAGAAGCCAGGTTTGGAAAAAAGACTGGTGGCAAAAGATTCTGAGAATCCCCTGGATTCCTACAACTGTGTTTCACTATCAGATGTGAAAGGACAGGGTAGAGACAGCTGCCTCCTTGTTGCTTTCTTCAGGAGCTTCTTTTTTATTGTTGTTGGAAATATACACAGCAAAACATATACCAGTTCAACAGTTTCTGTGTGTACATTTATTACATTCTTCAAATTGTACAGCCATTCTCAGTTGTCTCCTCATTGATGGTTAAAGTTGAGTCACTTGATCTTGTGAGCTAGGCCAGGAGGTTTTATCTTAACAAGCCAACTCTGTGCTGAAAGAACTTTGATGCCACATCCAAACTCTATGGGAAAGAGTGCTCTAGTTCATTACTTATGTCTGCCATGAGCACAGGAACAGGGTGACGTGTGCACTACTTGTTTGTGATCCCTAAGCTCAGATGAGGGAGCTCTGGTAGCATAGTGCCTAAGGCACTTGACTGCTCACCAGAAGGCTTACGGTTCAAACCTACCAGCCACTCCTTGGAAGGAGGGTTGGGCAACCCTACTTCTGTAGTGATACTGCCTCGGAAACCCAAGGTGTTGCTGTGAGTCGGGGCTGACTTGACAGCACACAACAACAACAACACAACAAGCTCAGATGATGTCTTAGTGTGGGGTCTCAGGAAGAGCAAAACCAGTGAGATGTATATGTTGAGAGAGTGAGTGAGAAAGAGAGAGAGCAGCAGGCTGGAGACCTCTGCTGGCTCCCAGATTGTGAGGGCTAACAAATCCAGTATCTGGCCAGAGACTTCTGCAGGCTTATGTCCCAGGAACTAGAGTTCAGATGATGAGAAGAGGGCAAGGTAAAGGGAGAGAGAGGAAGAATAAACATGAGCTTGGCCAGAATATCCACTTACATACTAAGAACAGGCCACACCCCCAAGGAAACTCCTCTTTCAACTGATTGTCTGCTCACATCCCATAACAAAATGACTGGACTTCCACATTCAGGACATCAGCTCAGGCAGGTCCTTCCTTGTCATAGCCCCACAGTTCCTTGGCATTCCTCAATGTGTGTGTTCCCCTGTGGGTCTCCCTGTCTGTTCTCTTCTTCTGTAACTCAGAAGGGATGAGGTTCAGGATCCCCCTACTCTGGTATGGCCTCATTAGCATAACAAAAGAAAGCCCCTATTTCCAACCTGGGCCATATTTATAAGTGCAGGGTAAGAATTTCAACAGGTATTTTTTTGAGAACAGAATCGTATCCATAACAGTGTACAAAGTGCCATCCCGGGATGTGACCTCACGCACATCCCGGGATGTGACCTCATGATTACATAGTGACTGCCAAACCACTGAGAACATACCCAAGCCAAGTTGACACATAGCATTAACCATCACTAAAGGCTCTTTCTCCATTCCATGATCCACCTGCATTTCTTCCACGGCTGAGAGCTAGGTGGAAGAAAATGGCTCCTGACCTATGAAGAGTATGGGAATCACTGCCAGGGCCAAGAAAAGTAGGGAAGTGGGGGCAAGTAGAGCACTCAGGGTGCAAAATTTAAGGAGGTGCTGAGTCTCAGTGTTGAGCAAGCACAGGGTTGGCACAGATGCTACCCTGAAAGGGAGTGCCTCCTTAAATTTTGCACCCTGGGCATTTCACTTCCTTCCACTTGGTCCTGTCCCTGGTCTTTGGATTTCCTGCTAGAGTTCTACCCTCTTTAGTTTATATAAAGGTGTACTGTGTGTGGAAAGGAACAGATTGTTTGAGGCAAGACGTCAGTAAATGCTGTATCTCTGTAAAAGAACTGTATGCCTTGTCAGGTAGATTAACACAAGTACATCAACTGATGTTATATTTTGGTAGATGTCCTAATGGTCCTAAAGGTCCTTGGGAAAAGGTAGGGGGCAGTGGTGGCTTAGTAGTAGAATTCTTACTTTCCATGCAGGAGTTGTTGTTGTCATGTGCCATTGAGTCAGACCCAACTCATAGCGACCCCTCCTTGGGTTTCTGAAGCGGTATCACTACAGAAGTAGATTGCCCAACCGGGTTCAATTCCCGGCCCATGGACCTCATTTACCACCTGTCTGTCAGTGGAGGGTTACATGTTGTGATGCCAAACAGGTTTCAGTGGAGCTTCCGGACTAAGACAGACTAGGAAGAAAAACCTGGCAACCTACTCCTGAAATTCAGTGAATGAGAAGCCTATGGACCACAATGTCCAATCCTGTTGTGCATGGGGTCACCATGCATTGGGGACACAACAATAGCAGCAGCAACAGGGAAAGTGTAATTATTAGAAAAGAAAACTGAGTTTTGAAGACCAGTTGCTCAGTGTGTCCTTTCAGAATGTGTGATGGCCAGAACCTCTCCTGGGTGGAATTACAGATCTTGCATTACTACAGGCTGCAGGTATTTTGAGCCTCCTCATCCCTTCTTTTTGGGTTCCACTCTTTAGCCTGGTTCTCCTGTGATCCCTTTCAGAACATCTCTTCCAACGTGCTGGAGGAATCTGCAGTCTCTGATGACACCCTGTCACCAGATGAAGATGGTGTGTGCTCGGGCCGGTACTTCACAGAGAGCGGCCTGGTGGGCCTTCTGGAGCAGGCCGCCGAGCTCTTCAGCACGGTCAGTGCCCACCTTGGTCTCCTGGGGCTACTATTACACCATAATTGGGTGACTTCAAGACCAGAAATGCATTGTCTCATGGTTCTGGAAGCTGGACTTCCACATTCAGGACATCAGCTCAGGCAGGTCCTTCCTTGTCATAGCCCCACAGTTCCTTGGCATTCCTCAATGTGTGTGTTCCCCTGTGGGTCTCCCTGTCTGTTCTCTTCTTCTGTAACTCAGAAGGGATGAGGTTCAGGATCCCCCTACTCTGGTATGGCCTCATTAGCATAACAAAAGAAAGCCCCTATTTCCAACCTGGGCCATATTTATAAGTGCAGGGTAAGAATTTCAACAGGTATTTTTTTGAGAACAGAATCGTATCCATAACAGTGTACAAAGTGCCATCCCGGGATGTGACCTCACGCACCAGAAACTCTGGTTTCTGTGATCTTAACGGCCAAGTCAGCAGCACTTCATGATGTCACTGCCAGGGCCCAGCAGGCACCTCCAGGGCCAGGTGTGCAAGGCAAGGCCTGGCTGGGAGGACTTTGATGTACCTAAATTACACCATCTCACTGAGGGAGCGAGGGAGATGGCTTTTCATCAGTGTAACTTCTAGTTTTCGCTGCACGCTGGGCAGCAGTTTTACAGTATGATTTTCATTCAATAAGGGTGGAAACAAAGCCACAGAGAGGTGAAGTGGCATGCCCAGGGTTACACAATAAATGACAAGGCATGTTTGCTCTGTTATCTACTTTCTCCCATTGAGAAAACGTGGAGAGGAGCCACTGGGGCCAGGGGGAAGGCATACATAGACAATGTCTGTCTTAGGATTGTTACAACCCAGGACCAGCTCAGAGAAATGTGGAGAGTCACTGAGACCCCCAGCTCGTTATCCTCGTTCTGGGTGTAAACACTCCTAACAAGAGAGTTTATGGCATTGAGATTCAGGGCAGTGGAGAGAGTCTCTTGCTCTTTTTCATTTTAATAATCCCCACTGCCCCTAGATTTTAAACCAAGTTAATATTTAATATAGAGCCCTGGTGGTGCAGTGGTTAAGCAGTTGGCTGCTAACCAAAAGATTGGCAGTTTGAACCCACCAACCGTTTCATGGGAGAAAAGACCTGATGATCTGTTCCCATAACAAGGATGACAGCCTAGGAAACCATCCTAGGGCAGTATCACTCTGTCACATAGAGTCTGTGAGTGAGAATCAACTCAAAGACACCCAACACCCACAGCAATATTTAATACTTAAGGACACTGAGCTGATCTGATTTCATTTTCATTCTTATATTATTCTTTCTTTTCTGTCTCTCCTGTTTGTTCCCTATAACTTCTGTGTATTCCATTTACTGTTTTAGCTATCATCTCTCTCCCTCTCTCTCCCCGCTCCTTCTCTCTTTCTCTCTCTCCCTCCCTACTTTTCCTTTGTAGAGTCAGAAAAGTCCAGGATACTCTTGTTTTGCCTGAACTTCAAGAAGTTCAGGAAAGTGAGCTCCTTGGAACCCTCCTGACTCATTCTAGGCAAACACTAAGCACCTGGCTATGGCAGTTCCTGGTGAAATTAAAATGCTCTAAGATTGCCTTTCTGAATCAGTTCAGTCCTGCTGCGCCTCCCTCTCCTGCTTTTGTTTTGTTTTTTTCTGCTTGAAAACCCTTCCCCTGTGCACAACATGGTGCAGGGCCATTTGAGTTTCCTGTAGTCTGACCTAAGGCCGTCTCAATGACAGGAGTAGGTTCAGACCTCACACCTGCCTGTAAAACAAGTGGTGTGGACAGTACATCCATTCCCAAGTATATTGTGTGGACAATGAACTCTGCAGGTTCTTAAGTTTCCAGTGCACTGAATTCTGTCGACCTTCTTTCTGTTTCGGCAAGGGGGGCTTGTATGAAACAGTTAATGAGGTGTACAAGCTGGTCATCCCCATCCTGGAAGCACACAGAGACTTCCGGAAGCTGACCTCCACTCACAACAAGCTGCAGAAGGCCTTTGACAGCATCATAAACAAGGTAGGTACCAATCCTCACCAGCACTTCCTGGAACCTGGCAACAGACAACCCTGTTCTGAAGATGCGTACCCCCCTTCCTCTCTAGCAAACAATTTATCTTGAGCACATCTGTACATTAGCAGGGCAGTGGTGGGCCAGTGGTAGAATTCTTGCCTTCCATACAGAAGACCCCTGGTTTGATTCCCAGCCAGTGCCCCTCATGTGCAGCCACCACCTGCCTGTCAGTGGAGGTTTGGTGATGCTGTGATGCTGACCGTGTTTCAGTGGAGGTTCCAGATGAAGAGAGAGTAGGAAGAAAGGCCTTGTGATCTGCTTCTGAAAATTAGCCCATGGATACCCTGTGGATCACAACAGTCTGATCCACAACCAGTCATGCAAATGCTACAGGACTGGGCTGTGTTTTGTTCCATTGTGTGTGGGGTCACCATGAGTTAGGGGCCAACTTGACAACAGTTCATAACAATAATGTCATTACAGTAGCTATCAGCTACCAGAGAAGGGCTGGGAGTAGACGGGATCAGAAGTCAGGGTGTGTATGAAGAAAGTCTGAATCATAACCAGGAAATGTGGTGCTTGAACATTTCTCTTAGAAAGATCAGCACAAGGCCAGTCCCCATGAGGCAGAGGTTAAAGATGTCCCAAATGTCCAAACTACCATACCATTCCATCATTTCAGACATTAACTCTTCCTCCTCCTCTCAGTAATCTTCCCCATCTTGGGGTTCTGTATTTCTCTGTAATGCCTCACAGAACTCACAGACACCCAGGGGATCATCTCACATAGTGGTGGTAGAGGCTGGGAAGCTGGCAGGCTGGCAAGTCCCAGGTCTGTAAGTAGGTCTGGAGGATTCTCCCAGTTCTTGGCGTTTGATGAACCTCAATCAGCAGATCGGATGACGGCTGCTGTCTCAAATCCAGGGGAGAGATAATGATGAGCCAAAATGCAGAACCAGAGCAAGAGGAGGGTCAACCTTCCCAGAAGATTCATATGTATAACCTCAAGGAAGCTAAGGGTGATGATTTGAGTTATACCCTCTAGCAAGGCAGGACTCAAGCTATGTCCCACCTGTGCTGCTCCAACAGAAATAACCCAAGTGGTTGGTTTAACAATCAGGAGCTACTCAGTTGCTCATGGCAAATTCCACCACAGAGCCAATTGCCAGTCATTATAGGGAATGACTGCTACTAGCTGCCCAGCCAAGTTGACACCTGACCTTAACTACCACACCACCCTAAACAGGCATAGGTCATAGGATTTACAATACATCACCAAATGAAGGACAATGGCTAGAAGGGCCACATCAGGCAATTCACTGCACATGGGAATTGCTTTAAAGTCACTTAGAAGTTCTAGATATCGTTCATGGGATTACTCTACTTACTATTCCCCAAGTTGATTCTATACACATTACACTCTTTTTAAAGGAAAGATTTTTGTTTATATTAACATAGGAATAAAATGCTTAGCATTACTCCTGCACTTGGTAACCCAATGGACATTACATGGCTAAGGAGAGGTTTTCTTATTTGCTTCATCAGGGGCATAAGAGAATGTTTGGAACCTACTTCCGAGTTGGTTTCTATGGATCCAAATTTGGGGATTTGGATGAGCAGGAATTTGTGTACAAAGAGCCTGCAATTACCAAGCTTCCTGAGATCTCTCATAGACTAGAGGTAAGCAAAGTGTGTGTGCTTGACAATGCATATTTTACAATAAACAAGATGGAGTGGCTCCTTAGAGGTTGTGTTACAAAATGCAGGTAATGGTTCATCACTGATCTATATGAACTTTTTTCACACTGCATTTATAACATGAAGGTATTAGTTGAGGTCATGTGGTAAAGCAAGATTTGGACAGCTTTCCTCTAAGATCCTGTGTCTTCTTTTCAATGTTGGTGAATTTATAGTGTGAGCATTTATTTTCCAGACTCGTTTTGCAAAATTCCATCCATGTCTTATGCTTTCTTATAACCCTGTCCAAATCTTAGTAATAAAGCTTGCGACTTTCAGGTTATCATCTTGATTTTAAAGGAATCTGGCTGAATTACCAAATGACCCCTACTAAATGCTTCAGCCATTGGTTTCTTGTCACTGTGGGACAGATCCCACTTCTGACACCAAAGAGATGCTCAACAGTAGTGTATAGGGCTCTGGGGCAGCTAAATGCTTAGTATAAATTCTGTACTTGGTAACCCAGTGGACATTTTACATAGCTAAGGAGAGGTTTTCTTATTTGCTTCATCAGGACCAGGCAGTGTTTCGTTCTGTTGTGTATAGGGTTGCTCTTCCTGCTGATTCAAGGAGGCTCCTATTTGGAGCATCAGGGCCAGTGACCCTAACTCCAACCTATCATTTACATTAGATCTCTAATATCCCAGAATAGAGCAACACATTTTTGAAGAAAGGATGGTAAGGATGAGAAAAAAGAGAAACAGCATGAAGAGGAGTCAGAAGTAAGATCGAAGTTGAAAGGGCCAGGCACTAAGAACTCAGGAAGAAAGCCAAACAAAGCCCACTCAGGCTGGGTCACTGTAGTCCCCTAAGCTGACACTTCATGCTCTTTTGCTATTGCTTTAAATTTATTCTCTTTCATGGCTCTAAAACTTAAAACACTTTCAATGCTTAATATTCACAACAGTATCCATCCATGCCAGATAAGACAAGGAAATTTTATGCTTACTTGACTCAAAAAGGAATCCCTGGGTGGTACAAATGGTGAATGGATGAACTTAGTTCTAACCGAAAGGTTAGAGGTTTGAGTCTACACGGAGTCACCTTGGAAGAAAGGCCTGGTAATCTGCTTCTGAAAAATCAGCCATTGAAAACTCTGTGGAGCACAGGTCTACTCAGACACATTTAAGATTGCTTTGAGTTGGAGTTGACTGAACAGCAACTGGTTAGTGGGAAAACAGTATTAGACAGAGAACCAAATGGTTGGGATCTGTTCCTAGTTCTCCTACTTATGAGCTGAGTAACTCTGAGCAAGTTTCCCAACTTCCCTGGGCCATGGTTCCTTTGAGTCTTAAAAACAACAAAAACTAAAATAAACAACAATAACAATAATAATAAAATAGTTGTCCTCAAGTCACTTCTAACTCGTGGAGAACCCCTGTGGGTCAGAGCAGAACTGTGCGCCACAGGTTTTCAATGGCTGATTTTTTGGAAGGAGATTGCCAGAACTTTCTTTCAAGGCACTTCTGGGTAGACTCAAACCTTCACACTTTTGTTTAGCAGCCAAGTGCATTACCATTTGCACCACCCAACTACTCCTTACTTAGGACTAGAGGCATGTATTTTGTCTTCTTGTGCACTGTGGTTTGCCATATTGTGGGAAATCTGGTGACTTCCAAGTTTCCACCATTCAAATGTTGCTATTAGGTGCTGTCAAGTTGCCTCCAACTCATAGCAAACCTATGCACAACAGAACAAAACACTGCCTGGTCCTGAGCCAGCCTCATTATCCTTGCTTTACCTGAGCCCATCATTGCAGCCACTGTGTCAATCCATTTCATTGAAGTCCTTCCTCTTTTTTGTTGACCCTCCACTTTACCAAGCATGCTTCTCCAGGGAATAGTCCCTTCTGACATGACCAAAGTAGGTGAGATGAAGTCTGGCCATTCTTGTTTCCAAGGAGCATTCTGGCTTCACTTCCTCCAGGACAGATTTCTTCATTCTGACAGTCCATAGTATTTTCAATATTCTTCACTAACACCACAACTCAAAAGCATCAACTCTTCTTCTGTCTTCCTTATTCATTGTCCAGCTCTCACATGCATATGAGGCAATTGAAAATACCATGGCTTGGGTTGGCCACACTTTATTCTTTAAGGAGACATCTTTGCTCTCCAGCACTTGAAAGAAGCCTTTTGAAGCAGATTTGCCCAATGCAATATGTCTTCTGATGTCTTGTCTTGACTGCTGCATCCATTGGTGTTGATTGTAGAACCAAGTGATGTGAAATCTTTGACAACTTTAATCTTTTCTCCATTTATCATGATGCTGCTTATTGGTCCAGTTGTCAGGACTTTTGTTTTCTTTATACTGAGGTGTAATCCATACTGCAGACTGCAATCTTTCATTTTCATCAGTAAGTGCTTCAAGCCATCCTCACTTTCAGCAAGCAAAGTTGTATCATCTGTGTATTATAGGTTGTTAATGAGTCTTTCTCCAATCCTAATGCTATGTTCTTCATATAGTCCAGCTTCTCGGATTATTTGCTCAGCATACAGATTGAACAAGTTTGATGAAAAGATACAACCCTGACGCACTGCCTTCCTGATTTTAAACCATGCAGTATCCCCTTGTTCTGTTCAAACGAAAGCCTCCTCGTCTGTGTACAGGTTCCTCATGAGCACAATTAAGTGTTCTGGAATTCCCATTCTTCTCAATGTTATCCATAATTTGTTATGATCCACACAATCTAATGCTTTTGCGTAGTCAATAAAACACAAGTAAACATCTTTCTGGTATTCTTTGCTTTCAAGCCAGGATGCATCTGTCATCAGCAATGTCAGCACAAATAAACTCACTGCCTTGGAGTCGAATCCAACTCATAGCGACCCCTCCTTGGGTTTCCGAGGCAGTATCACTATGGAAGTAGATTGCCCAACCTTCCTTCCGAGGAGTGGCTGGTGGGTTTGAGCTTCCAGCATTCTGGTTAACAGTCAAGTGCCTTAGGCATTTTGCCACCAGAGCTCCTTCAGTACAAATAATGAGAAGTAAATAGTGCCATCTAAGAAGAACTGCCTTAGAAAATATGACGTTGGTTAAAAATATGACATTGGTTGAAGTCAAGGCCAAGCTTATGTATTGTAGGATGCACTGCTGAACTTCCTTATTACATTTTTATTTTTGTCTCAGGAAATGCTAAATTTTCTCATTAGCTCAGGAAGACTTTCAGTGATCAACGAGCAAATGCTATCTTACACTCATTACAAACAGATTCAACTTCTGAGAAGACAAAGAAGTTTATTGCATTAAAATGACCTTTATGAACTGTTGGCTTCTCTTACCTAGGCATTCTATGGGCAGTGTTTTGGTGCAGAATTTGTGGAAGTGATCAAAGACTCGACACCAGTGGACAAAACCAAGTTGGATCCTAACAAGGTATGGAGACAATTTGCACAAAATGATCATCAGGCTTTGAGTCCCCTTATTTTGCCCTAAGAACATAAAATGACCTCTTCTAGCTGGGCTCTCTGAGTCACTTAAATGCAGCCAGACAGTCTTGTTCAGGCCTCACCTACTATTTGGTTAGAGCTTAAAGAAACCATTCTCAAAGGCAGGATCATCTAGGTACTGCTTATTGTATACTGGCTGTGAGGCTGGCCCTGTGTGTATCCTTTCATTTCATCCTCCAGCATCCCCCTAAAGTAGGTTTCCTTGTTCCCATTTTGCAGGTGAGACAGTCTGTAAGTTAAGGTGACTTTCCAAGCTCATGCAGGTAGCAGAGCCAGTACTCAAACAGCTCTGTCATCTCCAAACCCAGATTGTCCTCCTCACAACCTTCTATGCCTTTCCATCAGGACATTAAACTCTCCATTTAAAGCAGACTGTACACCCGAGACTATGACCCCAAGTCACCCTTCCGGCCTGGGATTGAGCTTATTCCCATGGCTCAGCTCTCAGCCAAACAATAGAAAGGCCTGTGATCTGAACACCTACACCAGGGAGATGCACTTCTTGGAACAATCAACTATGGGAGATCATAAGGGCAACATTTGCACAGGGAGAGAAGTAGGTAGGGATGTATAGGCAAGAAGGACACAGGGAAAGGGAAACCACAGGGAGGAAGTGGAAGGAGAGCTGTTACACTGTGGGGAATATAACCAGAGTCACAAAACAAAATGTGTATAACTATTGAATGTCAAATGAATCTGCTTTGTAAAATTCTACCCAAATCACAATAAAAAGTTCAAATAAATCAGTGAAATAAAATCTGCACAGATGCAGACTTCTCCCAGACAGTGTTTAGTGGCACCTTTCTTAGGCTGCAGGCATTCCTCCCAGCCAGGTGCAGTGCCAGGTGCAGTGATGGGAAGGGCATGGGCTTTGGGTGATACCTGCCTGGCAAGCCCACCTCACATGAAAAGAGCTTTCTCCACTGCTGGAAACAGTGCCAGTGCAAGGTGTCAAGAAGGGTTGGGGGACCAAGGGCCTGGCACCTGTTGGCAGGCCTGTGAAAGGCAGGCTCCAACTCTTCCCTCAGTTCTCTCTCCCAAGATTCAGTGAAGGTGAGGCAAGTAGGGAAGAATGGGGCAAATGGAAGGCTCTGTTTTCCACACATTTCAGAGCACTTACTCACTGTAGATGCATTCCCTAGCATAGGCTTGAAAGCAGGAGCTGTTGTAGAGCAGAGCTAAGTTTCAGACAGAGATGTCCTAAGTCTTTGGAAGAAAGACTGGATGGTGTGCCATGGTGGTCACTGCCCAGCACCTGCTGCACAGGATCAGCTCAGACACCACCATACAGGGTGGTCTTTTCCCTTCTCTCAAAATTCCCCAGATAGGTGAGATCTTTGGACAAGGGTCCAGACCAGAATTCCAACCAGGTATCATTACACTGACTCATGACTTACAGTCTGGGGCCAGTGACTCCACTCACCCACTGAACTCCTCAGTGCATGGGTTTCTCAGAGTCTGTGGCCTGGGTCAATCTTTTTTTTATGTTTTAAAGAGCACTTTTGCTTTATTCTCTTTTTGCATTTTAATTTTGGTGAAAATGCACACAGCAGAACATACACGCAGTCTTCAGTTTCTACACGGACAATTCAGTGACTTGGTTGCACCCTGCATCTGTGTCTCCATTCGCGTTATCCCTCTACTTTGTTTCACCACCATTGTCTTAGCCTCATTGCCCTCTAAACGTCTCACCTATGCTTTAGAGTTACTGTTAACAGTTTGATCTCAAATAGATAATGTTTTAAAAGAGTGCAATGGTCATGGGAAGGATTCTTTACTAGTTTAGCTAAACAATTGTTTCAAGCTGACTTTACGGGGCATTTCAATTCAACATTTGAAGATTTTCTCAGAGTGATAGATTGAGCAGTTCCTCCAGTCTCAGTGGATCTAATAAGTCTGCATTCTGTAAGAATTTGAAATTCTGTTCCACACTTTTCCCTCTTCTGATCAGGATTCATCTATTGATTCCTTGATCAAAATGTGCACTAATGGTATCCAGACACCATCTGGTCCTTCGGGTCTCATGAGTAAGGAGGCAGTAGTTCAGGGAGGCAGTTAGCTTCTTCTCTGATTCCTGGGTCTCCTTCCTCAGCTGCTGCAGGAATAGAGACCAATTTTTGGATCTTGGGTAAAGAGGGATTTTTATTATATTTTCTTCTTGTATTTTTGGAATCCCTGGGTATTTGAAATGGTTAATGCACTTGGCTGCTAAATGAAAGGTTGGAAGTTCAAGTCCACCAGAGGCACCTTGGAAGAAAGGCCTGGGAACCTACTACCAAAACATCAGCCATTGAAAGCTCTGTGGAGCACAGTTGTACTCTGACACACATGGGGTCACCGTGAGTTGGAATCAACTCAACGACAGCTGGAATCTTTTTCTTATATTTAATAAGTATCCTTTTTCACATGCAGTAGAATTCGCTCTTTTTGGTACTTAGTTCTAGGAGTTTTGACAAACGTGTAATTATCACCACAATCAAGATACATAACAGTTCCATTGCCCCAGAATATTTCCCTGTACCCATTTTTAGTCATTCCTTCCCTCTGTTCTCAACCCCTCACTGTTGCTGACCTATAGTCTTATCTGTAGGTTTACCTTTTCCAGAATGTTAAGTACATGGAATCAAACAGTAGTAGCCTTTTGAGTGTGGCTTCTTTCACTTAGCATAATGCGTGCGAGGCCCATCCATGTGTAGTAGTTAAATCTTTTTGCACCACTCAGTTGCTAGCCAGATGGTCAGCAGTTTGAACCTACCAGCTGTTCGACAGGAGAAAGATGTAACAGTCTGTTTCTGTAAAGACTGACAGCTTGGGAAACCATATGGGGCAGTTCTATTCTGTCCTACAGGGTCACTATTAGTTAGAATTGACTCAGTGACAGTATGGTTTTTTTTGTTTGTTCGTTTTGTTTTTGAGTAGTACCCAATTTGTATAGATGTACCACTAGTTGTTTATCCATTCCCTAGGTGAGAGGCATTTTAATTGTTTCTCTTGTTGTTGTTGTTATGTGCCATTGAGTCGGACCCAACTCATAGCAATCCCTCCCTGGGTTTCTGAGGCCATGTCACTACGGGGAAGTAGATTGCCCAACCTTCCTTCCAAGGAGTGGCTGGTGGGTCTTGTTTTTCTCAATTATGAATAAAGTTGCGATAAAGATTTGCATATGAGTTTTTGTGCAAACGTAAGTTTTCATTTCTTTTGGATAAACATGTAGGAGTATGATTGCTGGGTTGTGTGGTTAGTGTATATTTAACTGTGAAAGAGACTACCTCCTATTTTCATGTGATTGTAGTACTTTGCAAGTTTCAGTTGTTCTGCTTCCTTGTCAGCATTTGGTATTGTCAGTTTTCTTTAGCCCTTCTAGTAAGTGTGGCTCACAGACTTGGTCATTTTGGAAAAAAAAAAAAAGAGAGTTCCCCTTTATGGAAAAGCAGTGTGCATGATTTTAAAAATGGAAACAAACAGGTGTTGGTGAGGATGTGGAAACGTTGGAGTGCTCTTCCATTGTTGGTGGGACAGTAAAATGGTACAGCCACTGCAGAAAATAGTTTGATAATTCTTCAAAAACCTAAGCATGGAACTAATATATGATTCAGCAATTCCACTCATAGGTAGATACTCTAAAGAATTGAAAACAGGGACTCAGAGACTTGTACACCCATGTCCATTGCAGCACTTTTCACAATGGCCAAAAGGTGGTACCTAAATGGCCACCAATGGATGAGCAGATAAATAGCATGGTCCATCCATACAATGGAATACTGCTCATCCATAAAGAGAAATGAAGTCCTGACATATGCCACAACATGGATAAACCTTGAAACCATCATGCTGAGTGAAAAAGTCTCAAAAGGACAAATACTGTATAATCCCACTTATGTAAGATATCTAGAATAGGCAAGTGTATAGAGACCAAATTTTACTAGTGGTGATCAGAGGCAAGAAGGAGGGGGACATGAGGGAGGTGTCATTTAGGGGACACTGAGCTTCTGTTTTGGGGCATGGTATAGTTTTAGAACAAGTAAGGGTGATGGTTGAACAACATGTTGAACATAGTTCATGTCACTCAACTGTCCATGTGAAGACTATTGAAATGTCAGATGTTTTGTTACATTATATTTACCACAATTTAAAAAAAAGAAGCAAACCAGTTTGCAAATTATGTGACTGAGCATTCAGTTGGATGGGTTAGCTCTGGTGGGAGGGGTGTCTTGTGGCCTGACCTCACACTTGTACCCTCTCCGGCCTTGGGTTATGTGACCAGAAGGCTGGATTCCTGCTGATGCCTTCAGTTCTGTGGCAGGGCTGGTGGCAGGGCCAATGCAATGGCCCATCCCAGCATGCCCTCAGGTGCATCACGGTGTACCCTGCGCTTGGAGGAGACCTCACCTGCTCCTTCTCCTCCCCTCCCCTCAGGCCTACATCCAGATCACATTTGTGGAGCCCTACTTCGATGAGTATGAGATGAAAGACAGGATGACCTACTTTGAGAAGAACTTCAACCTACGGCGGTTCATGTACACAACGCCCTTCACGCTGGAGGGGCGGCCCCGTGGGGAGCTGCAGGAACAGCACCAGCGGAACACGGTCCTCACCACCATGCATGCCTTCCCCTATATCAAGACCCGCATCGCTGTCATCCAGAAGGAAGAGGTAATGGCACCGGGGGAGTGGGCTCCAGTGAGTGGCCAGGGTGACTTCCCAGCATGATGGCAAATCTGGTGGCCTGGCGTGAAGATGTGGAAAGGGACACACTGACATGTTAGGATATTATCTTTTCACTTCCATGGTGCCATGAGTCCCACTTGAAATAAAAACCCATATCCATGGAGTCGATTCTGACTCACAGTAACCTCATGTACAGAGTAGAGCCGCGCCATAGGGTTTCCTGTGTTGGTCATCTTTTCTGAAGCATCTAGCCAGGCCTTTCTTCTGGGACCCCACTGGGTGGGTTTGAACTGCCCACGTTCTGGCTGATTGCCAATAAGAAACTGTGCCACCCAGGGGCCTAGAGTCCCATTTGGGCAGCTACATATTCTATAGCACAGTTATATATTTCAATATTTTACATGTTAAACATATATGCTTAATATTGTTGTTGTTGTTGTTATGTGCCGTCGAGTCGGATCCGACTCATAGCGACCCCTCCTATATATGCTTAATATAAATATATAATTAAAATACATAACATAGGATATTTATATATTTAATTGTAGGGAGCTCTGGTGGTATATCAGGTAAGACATTTAGCTGCTAACCAGAAGGTCAGCAGTTCAAACTCACCAGCTGCTCTATGGGAGGAAGATGAGGCAATCTACTTCTGTAAAGGTTTACAACCTTGGAAACCCAATGGGAGTTGCTATGAGTTGGAATCAACTTGATGGCAGTGGGTTTGGGTGTTTTGGTTTTTTCATATTTAATTAGAGTCTGTGGGTGGGGCAAATGGGTAACCCGCTCGCTGCTAACCCAAAGTCTAGACGTTTGGGTCCACCCCAAGCCACCTCAGAAGAAAGGCCTGGTGATCTCCCTCCAAAAAATGAGCCGTTAAAAACCTGAGGTCTTAGCACTGTGCCTGTGGAGCACGGGTCTACTCTGACACACCTGGGGTCACCGGGAGTCAGGGTCAACTCAACAGCAGCTCTTTTCTTTTTAATGATATATTTATATAACATTTATATATTTAAATTTATTTTTATAGTTTTTAAAATATATTTAGAAGTGTCCAGATGATTCAAGCGTTGTTGTGTTATTAACTATTAGGGACAGGAGCAGCCAGTGAGCAGTCCCCAGGGACAAAGTGTGCTGTAGGAAGGTCTCCATGCATGATGGACAGGGAGACTGGCTGAGTTTAATCCCAACTTCATCCTGGGACCTTGTACAAGCCACTTATCTTCAGTTTCCTCATCCATGGATTGATAGGAAGGGCCCCTGTTGCTTCTCCGATTTTATGTACAATGGAGGACTCTCAGCCATGGTAATAGCACGGATTGAGAAAGGGTCTCAAACCACATAATCATTCAAAATGATACGGACCACAGACATTTTGTTTTACATTAAAACACATGCCAGCTAACCACTGGCCCTCGAGTGGGCTCCAGCTGATGGCACCCTCAGGTGTGTCAGAGCAGGGCTGTGCTCCATGGGGTTTTCAGAAGGAGATCACAAGGCCTTTCCCCTGAGGCCTTCCTGGGGGGACTCAATCCTCCACCTTTTTGGTTAGCAGCTGAGAGCATTAACCATTTACACCATGAGGGACTCCTAAAACATCTCCGTGTACTTGTTTGTCTTTTTTTTTTTTTAACATATCTACAGGGCCACGTGAGCTCTGGTAGCATAGTGCCTAAGGCACTTGACTGCTAACCAGAAGGCTGGCAGTTCAAACCCACCAGCCACTCCTTGGAAGGAAGGTTGAGCAATCCTACTTCTGTAGTGAAACTGCCTTGGAAACCCAAGGAGGAGTCGCTATGAGTCAGGGCTGACTTGACGGCATGTAACAACAACAACAACAGGGCCACAGCCTTCTCTGTGATTATAGGCCCATTGGTCACAATTCAAAGGAGCCCTGGTAGCACAGTGGTTAAGCACTTGGCTGATAACTGAAAGGTCAGTGGTTCAAACCTACCAGCCACTCTGTAGAAGAAAGATGTGGCAGTCTGCTTCTGTAAAGATTTATAGCCTCAGAAACCCTAGTGGGCAGTTCTACTCTGTCCTGTGGGGTCCCTGAGTCGGAACTGACTCAGCGGCAGTGAGGTGTTTTTTTGTTGTTTGGTCACAGTGCAGCATTGTCTGTCTTGTATCAACTGCACTCGTGATGCATATCTCTGATTTTCAGTTTTGGTTTCTGTAAAGCAGATTGAAAGCTTCAAGGTACTTGCTAAACAGGAGGACAAGATTCTCCTAGATGTGAGTGAGCCTCCTCACCCCCAGCCTTTCCAGTTGTCTTGCTGTCACCTGATGTAACAGGGAGCTTTATAACATCCCACCCAAACATTCCACTTGGTTGTCACAGACCAACTCTTTCCACACCCATAGTCCATCAGTTTATACATGATTTAATTAGATTAGGTCATCGTAATAACAAGTGTAACTGACAATCAGGTTGGTGAACAAATACGATGGGCCTGGGTAATCTCCACCTCATCAGGTGGGAGCAGTGATAATTGAGCTTATGGAGAGGAAGCCACAGCTGAGGGGTCAGCAGCCAGCAACCTCAGAGGGGGCCGTCACTGAGGGTAAAGGAAGCCTGAGCTAGGGAGTGAGACACAGGAGGTTGGTTAAGAAGGTGTCTGCTCAATGGTCCTATAAGTGTATTTGTATGTTCTGTAAGAATTCCCAGGTGTATAGTAGAGCTGACAAGGAACAAGGTTGTAGTCACTTCTTGGTCACAGCAAGCTACCCAGAGGGACCTGTGGTCTCAAGACCATAATCACAGGAGGCATCAAGCTCAATTGGCCTAACATACTACACAAAACATTGTTCCACCTCCTAATGTGGTCAGTAGTGACTGGGATCTTAAAAGCTTGCAAGCATCTATCTAGATGCAACAGTGGGTCTCTCCTCGTCCAGAACAAAGAAGAATGAAGAGAAACAAAGATTCATGGAAACAATTGGTCCTAGCGACTGGTACACCATGTGATCCGCAGCCTATACAACTGTGAGACCAGAAGAACTAGATGGTGATCGTCTACCACTGTCAACCATGCGGAGGAGAATCTATGTAGGAGATCCTAGATAGAGTGGGAGAACGATGTAGAACAAAACTCAAAATGATTTGGAAATAAAAGAGGGGGGACACCAGGTTTGCTGGTCTAATGGAGCCTGGTGGAACCCCTGAGACTATGGCCCTTAGCTGCCCTTCAGGTCTGGAATTGAACCCACACCTGTGGCTTCCAGCCAAACAAAAGCATAGGAACTGAACATTTACCTGAGGTAGATACACTCCTTGGAGAGAACAATCATGGCAGAAAGAGGGGCTTTTTATGCACAGGGAGACAGCTCAGGGGGCAGGAGTGAATGGAGGGATGAACACAGGGAAGAGGTAACTATCAGGAGGAAGTAGGAGGGGAGCTGTTGCATTGTGGTAAGTTGTAGTCAATGTCATGAGACAAAGTGTATGTGAACTGCTACATGGAAAGTGAATTTTCTCTGTAAATTTTCACCCAAATCACAATAAAAAAATAGAAAGAAAACAAAAATCCTCACAACTTGACTAATAACCAACATTAAAAAAAGAAAAGAAAAGAAAAGAAAGAAGAAGGTGTCTGCTGTATAACTTATTGTTTTAGATTTTTAACATTTGGACATTCTATATGTAGCACAGAAATAAACTCATGGTCTCAAAATATATCTTTGCTTGGTCCCAAAATGTATCTTCACATCTTTTCTTGGCCATCTGTTATTCTCCCAGAACTTCGGGAAAGACCCTACCCCAAACCAGCAAATCTTAGCAACTGGCTGATTGGCCTTTCAGAGCACTCTGTTTACCAGGAATTCCCCTTCAGGTTGAGCTGGAAGCACCAGGGGAGCCAGAAGTTGTGTCAGGGTAGGGAGAGAATCTTGAGTGCTGTGATTTTAATACCTCTCCCAAGTGAGAGTCTATTAACTTATAGCAGAAGGAAACCTCTGTGTGGAAAGAGCAAGGGCTTTCAGCTTAGACATAAATGTGATCAAATTTTGGCCTTCCCACTTACTAACTGTTTAGCTGCCATCTGCTCAACCCCCTATTCATGGAGCCCCCATGTGTTATTGAGTGGAGCTACTGAGTGGTTAGAATCTTTACAGAAGGAGTTCACCAGCCCTTTTCTTCCACAGAGCTGCTGCATGGGAACGAACTGCCAGCCATTGAGTTAGCAACCTCGTGCCACCCAGGCTCCTTGGAACTAATTTAGCCTTTAACTGTAAATGGAAAAAATTATGAGATTGTTTAAAGAAGTAGATGATAACTGTATGTATAGTTCCCGGAATATAAGAAGTATGTAAGAAATGCTAGACCTATCCCTCCTATTTAACCTTTCAGGTCATTTTAAATTACTCTAAAAGTCTTTCTTTAGCTGTATCTTCGAATTCAGGTGCCCTCTGTGTCATAGCTCCAGATGTGGCCATGGCTCATGAGATAGGACAATGACTTCCCTACATTTATGTTTCATGTCCAGTTTGTGTTGACACCAATTGAAGTTGCCATTGAAGATATGAAGAAGAAGACCCTGCAGTTAGCGGTTGCCATTAACCAGGAGCCGCCTGATGCAAAGATGCTTCAGATGGTTCTACAAGGCTCAGTGGGAGCTACTGTGAACCAGGTATGGAAAACCAGCTGGGGTCAACTCCTCTGTTTCTTATGATTTGAGTTATTAATGAACCTCTATACCCTCCTTCCTTGGGATTGACGAGGCATCCAATCCACATGTGAATGATGTTCCTACATTTAGATGGAACATGTATGAAATTTAGAATACCTGTAGAGGCCTCTTCTCCTTCATGGGACTCAAGGTAGAATAGAGTCCTAGAGATGAGGGGACTAGGTCTCAAGAGCTCCATCTTTCCAGAGGTCAGTTCCAGATGATCTCAGCATGCCAGGGATTGCTAAGCCGGAGTGATCAGCCTGTGATATCAGCCAACCTCAGCTGACCAGGCTTCTTGAGCCACTTTAGACCAGGCTCGATCTTCCCAAACTCACTAGAGTCCTAACTCCTATGCTCATCATAGAACAAAACCAATCTCAGGTGGACAGACGAGCTAGCCTTAACTTTCTGTCCAGTGGGACTCTGTGGTTTCTTTTCCAGGCCAGCTCTTGTTCACACATTTCTGCTCAGAATTTAAATGAGCCCGTGACTCTTTGCTTACTTAGCACAACTGGATTTTCCCACAAAATTTTGAGCCCACTTCACATCAAGGGAGCAGAAATAGCAGAGAGAAGAAGTGACTATTTCCCAAGTTAGAAAAAATTGGGAAAGCCTTGCCTTGAAAGTCTCAATCCTTTGATGAAAATAGAAGACTTGATAAGCCCCTAATCATGGTCTACTTAAATACTTACACCTATCTCTGTCTTAAGTCAGAAATTATGCAACTATAAATGTTCTTTATTAGGGCAACCAGACAGGTAAATATGAATGAATGGATCAAGGCAGTCTTCATATTTAGAAAAGGAACTCAAAGCACATGTCTTTTGATGCAGCTGTATTACCTTTCTATATGCAGGAAAGCCTATTATTGGTAGTGTTTGACTGAGTATTCTCCTAAAACTCAAGACTTCTCCTAAGAAAATTCTAAGTTTCCTCAGAATTTCAAGATCTTCCTTAAGTTGTGGTTTTGTTTAAAGCACCTAGAGAATGAAATATGCACGCTTAAGAAATCACTCCAACATTATCTCACAACTAATCTAATTTTCCTTCAAACATCAGGGTTTTTTTTTTTTCTTTTTCCCTCATCAGGGACCACTGGAAGTGGCCCAAGTGTTCCTGGCTGAGATTCCAGCTGACCCCAAACTCTACCGCCATCACAACAAGTTGAGGTTATGCTTTAAGGAGTTCATAATGCGGTAAGGAGGGAAACGACTGGGCACTCAGCAGAATGGCAGTTCTTGAAGTGTGGGCTTCAGACCAGCAGCTTCCGCATCACGTGGGACCAGGTGCCACTGAGACAGCGCTGGCTCATGGAGACCCCACGTGTCAGAGTAGAACCGTGCTCCGTGGGGTTTCAGTGGCTGCTTTTTTGGAAGTAGATCTCCAGGCCTTTGTTTCCAGGAGCTTCTGGGTGGACTCAGACCACTTAGCAGCTAAGCGTGTTAACAGTTCACACCACTCAGAGTCTCCTCGAACATGTTAGAGAGGCAGATGCCCAGGCAGGTCCCTGTACTGAATCGGAAGCTCTGGGTCTGATCCTGATGCCCCTAACGTTTGAGAAGCTCTCGTGTCGAGCCGGATGCCTTGCGTTACTGATTACTAACTGATGATTAGAGTGCACAGTGCCACCATGTTTGTCACCTCTTGTGCCTCACCATCATGCTATGAGTTGTTATTATCATCATCTTCATTTTACAGAAGTCCCTGGGTGCTGCAGACACTCAATGCACTCAGGTGTTCACCAACCGCGGGAGCTTCACGTCCACCAGGGGTGCTTCTGAAGCAAGGCCTGGCATCTACTTCCACAAAAGCAGCCCCTGGAAACCCTGTGGAGCACAGTCCCCCACTGACACACATGGGGTCTCCATGAGTCAGAGTCAACTCAACAGCAACAGTTTTGTTTTTTCATTTTACAAAAGAGGTGTTGGCGATTCAGAGAAGGGAGGTGACTTTACTTAAGGTCACACAGTCCATAGGTAGCAGAGTTGGATTCAAATCCACATGTTCTGAATCCAGATGTCCCACACTTGTCAGTGTGGCTGATAGCCTACAGACGCATCAGACTTTGGGTAAAGCAGTTCTTGGCATTGCTGTCTTTGTGGTTTGCTATATCATACCTTATCGTTAGAAATGTGAAAAGAGACACTGCATCAAATTGATAGATAAAGGCAAGATTCTAACCCTGGGCTTTTACAAAGGTAGCATCTCTTATTACGGTTCCCAGTGTCACACCAGCCTTCTCTCTGCTCCTTAACTCTGCACTGGAGCTGCCTTCACAAGCAGCCTTTTCAGCCGTGGTAGGAATGGTGCCTCTGGCCAAGGTCTTGCAATCTATTATTGTAATGCAGTTGGATATGTGGGGGTTTTTGTGGTCCTAAAATGATTAACCCACCAGCCACTCCTCAGAAGGAAGGTTGGGCAATCTACTTCCATAGTGATACCGCCTCCGAAACCCAAGGAGGGGTAGCTATAAGTCAGATCCGACTCAACGGCAGTGAGTTGTTTTTTTTTTTTTTTTTTAATGATTATGTGGCAACCCTGAGTCTATGGCCCTTAGACACCCTTCAAAGCTGGAACTGAACTCACCCCGATGGCTCATCTTTTAGCCAATCAATGACAGGCCTGTGAGGTGAACAGTAACACCAGGGAGGTGTGCATTCCTTAGAACAGTCAACCATAGGAGACCAAAAGGGCAGCATTTGCTCAGGGATAGAGACCAGAAGGCAGGAAGGGAAAAGAGAGGACAGATGGAAATGGGGAACGTAGGGAAGAAGTGGGAAGAGTGCTGTTACACTGAGGGGATAACAACCAATGTCATGAAACAAAATAAATTGTTGAGTGGAAAACCAATTTGCTCTGTAAACTTTCACCCATCCCATGAAAAGTGAAGAGGAAAAGAATGAGTGTGAAAGATGTGATGGCATTTCACCCGCGAGAGAAAAGGCCATGAGAAAAAGGTGCTCTCTTACTTCATTTCTTCTGCAGTTAACTCAGGTGAGCAGTAGCAGTAGGACCTCAGCGTGTCATATACAGAATGGGGATATTTTCACCTGGCAGATGGGGACAAAGGAAGATAGAAGATGTAACGTTTGTGCAAGCTCATCAGAATGCCATCTGCCTAGTCCCCCAGCGCTGCTGTAACAGAAACCCCACAAGTGGCTTTAACAAACACATCTACTGCTCAGTTTGTCGTTGGGTGCCGTTGAGTCGACTTAGGCTCCTAACAACCCTATATAACACTGCCCCGTGGGGTTTTCTAGGCTGTAATCTTTGTGGAAACAGATCGCCAGGTCTTTTCTCTGCCAGGGCTGCTGGTGTGTTTGAACCACTAACCACAGAGCTGCTTAACCCTCAGGGCTCTTTCTGACGGCTGAGGAGGCAGCAGTCTGACTTCAGGGCGCCTGCTCTGGGGGAGGGCTTTCTCTCTGTCAGTTCTGGGGGAACGTCCTGGCCTCTTCCAGCTTCTGGAGCCCTGGCGTTCCTCGGTTCTATGGTGATCCCCTGGGGCGTCGGCCTCCTTCCTCCGTTTGTGCTCTCCTGTCACTGTGCCTGGGAGCTCTGGTAGCATAGTGCCTAAGGCATTTGACTGCCAACCAAGAGGCTGGCGGTTCAAACCTACCAGCCCCTCCTCAGAAGGAAGATTGGGCAATCTACTTCCATAGTGATACAGCCTGGGAAACCCAAGGAGGGGTGGCTATGAGTCAGGACCAGCTCGATGGCAGTGAGTTTGGTTTTTTTGGTCACTGTGTCTATGCTGCTTCTTGTAACCCAGGCGTGATCTCATTACCCTAACAAAGAAAGTCCTGTTCCCAAACAGGATCACATGCACAGGTAGAAATGTTAGGATTCCAACACATATTTAGGGGGCACTGATTTTGGGTGAGGTTAGAGGCATCTTCCTTGACAGCTTTGGTGAGAGGTCTACAGCTTCACCATGTATAGGCGAGACTACATTTGCCCTGTGGTACATCTCAGTTGCTGGGTGGTAGGATGCATCTGTGTCTCTGTGTATTTGTCCGTGTGTGCATGTGTAGTATACACGGACACAAACACACAGAGATGAGATTTATTCGTGTTTGATGGTTGAAAGCTCAGTTTTCAATATGTCATACATTTGCACAGACCAAAGGCTTGAAAATATTTGGAAGATTTTTTTTTTTTTGGACCAATTTACCTTTTCATATATTTTAATTTTAAATTAATTATGATCAAAAGCACCCAACATTGGCCGTGGCCTGGCCTCTGAGAGGGCCTGTGAAAGGTTTCACATGCTCTCCGTGACCCAGGTACAACATTAGTTAAGGGACTACAGAGATCCTTGGTCTTGACGACTGGACAGATGTCAACCCCAAAACCAAACCGGTGGCTATGCAGTGACTTCTGACTCATGGCAACCCCTGTGTGTCAGTGGAGAACTACTCAGCAGGGTTTCCAGAGGCTGGTTTTTCAGAACTAGTCACCAGGTGTTTCTTCCAAGGCACCTCTGGGGGGACTTGAACCTCCAACCTCTGGGTTAGCAGCCAAGCACATTCCCCAGGACTCCATGGCTCACTTACCTGCTGTTTTATTTCATGTAAAGCAAAAGTCATAGGTGAGATGGTGGTGATGGCTTCATACCTGTATACATTTACTGAACTCAGCAAACTTTACATTTAAAAGGGTGAATTCTATGTGTAAATGATACCTTGATATAGGTGGTATGAGAGGAACAGCTTTTTTAAAGTTTCTCTTTCCTTTTTTTTCATGAATAATTTATTTTTGTTGTTCCTGTTGAAAATATATACAGCAGAGCAGTGAGCCAATTCAACAATTTGTGCATGTCCAGCTCAGTGACACTGGTCGCACACTTCCACTTGTACCACCGTTCTCACCCTGCCTCCTTTTAAGTTTGACATTAAACCAGTTGTCAAATTGATTCTGATTCATGGCAGCCTTGTGAGTATCAGAGTAGAAGCGGCTCCATGCAGCTTTTTCATGAGAAGAGCAGCTCCTTGGTCAGCTGTTTGCAGGGATGGTTTTCCCCTCCCACTCTGCTCTTTGATAGCAGAGATGGACAGTGTTGGAGTGAGGAGCTCTCAGATCCTCCCCTCCAGGGGCTCTGACTTCTCAGCTGACTTGAGCTGCAAGGCAATAAGCCTGATTTCCAAGGTGATGGAGCGAGCCTTCTGATGGCGATCCCTAATGGTGGAAATGGACACTTGCCAGGGATACCGCAGCTCAGGTTCCGCCCCAGCAGTGGCCTTCCTGACTCAGCTGCAGCAGAACCAGATACGGCCCTAAACAAGCAGGAGCCTGCAGTGCTCAGGCAGTTGCCAAGTTGGGTGCCTGGTCCCCTCCAGCCTTTTCCTGGGATAAGAAAGTCACCTCAGAGTTTCAGAAGCCAGAGATGGGGAGATAGAAGGCTCTGGTTTCCTCAAGGCACCTGATGTTTTAGGCACTGCAGTCTCTTTGTGAATTTTCTTCAGCTTCTCTGAACTTTCTTGTTTCTATAAAGAAAGTCTGATTGTAACACTCACTTTTATATTTAAATGAAAGATAGCAGGGCTCAATAGCACCAGGCAGCAGTGCCCTTGCAGGAAAGTAGTTTCAGATACACCTCAGATAGGACTCTGCCGTATACATCAGAGTCAGAACACAGTGTGGAGCAGTGGGTTTGCAAGCTGGAGTCCAGGTCTGGGCAGACGAAGGACAGGAACTTACCAGAGCAGCCAAAGGAAGACAAACATGAGAGGAGATCTGAAAATACCATCTCAGATACCCTGAGAGGTCACTCAGGAGCAGGTCAACAGTGAGGGGGACCTTTGTCAATTAGCCATCAAAAACTCTATGGAGCCGCTTCTACTCTGATACTCACAAGGCTGCCATGAATCAGAATCAATTTGACAACTGGTTTAATGTCAAACTTAAAAGATTGATGAGAATCTTCTGGGTGAGTTCAATCAAGTCTTTATCTACCAAACCAAAACCCAAGCTTACTGCCATGGAGTCAGATCCGACTCATAGCAACCCCTCCTTGGGTTTCCGAGGTGATATCACTATGAAAGTAGATTGCCCCATCTTCCTTCTGAGGAGTGGCTGGTGAGTTTGAAGCACCAGCCTTCTGGTTAGCAGTCAAATGCCTTAGGCACTACACCACCATGCTGAAGACTAATCTCATGGTGAGCTGAGGCCAGAGACTGAGCTTTGCCTTGGCCAGGTAGCTTTCTCCTGCCCCATAGCCACTGGCTACTCTTTGCTGACAAGGTGTTCAGTGGTGACAGGGTTTGGTAACAAGGCCTGGGAACCTCCATAACAGCACATATCAAGTACCAGGAAAACAGTTTAAAGCATATGGATGACCAGACTCTTGCTAATGTGACTGATGATAGAATTATTACTTATTGCATGTCAGCTGAACATGAGTCATTTTGTCTCGCCGTTAAGGTGTGTTGATTTGTATGTTCCCTTGTGTAGAACTGTGTAAAATGAAAAGCAAGACTTTATGGCCTTTAAAGGACCTGCTTTCCTCTTCAAGACTTTCCACATTGAGTGGGAGGCCGTGAAAATACTAAGGCTCAGGGTCACAGCTACACAACCATGTTGTTGTTGTTGGAGCTTTAAAGACTGCCTCTTGGCCATTAATGCTCTGCAGTCCTCAGGGTGGGCCTGGTGTGTAGATCCATTTGTATTGATCCTCCAGGAGAGGAGGCTTGTCGGCTTTCAATTCTGGTAACGATCAGCCATCATCTTGGTGATATAGCCTCTCTCTTGTTCTCCATTCCCTTGTGTTAAACGTGGGTTGGGCATTTTCGTTACACCTACCTGCCTCTTAACTATTTTTTCATATTTTTAGTATGTTTTTTATCTCCTTGGTGATTTCCTCATATTTGTCCTCTAGTTGTTCTCAATACTGTCTGGTCTGTCGTTCAACCTGCCTCCTGAGGAATTTCCCTTTATTTTAATGACTGTTATTTTTGGGTGCCATCAAGCAGACTAGGTTTCAGGAGAATCAGAATTCTGACTTGTAGCGACCCCATAGGACAGAGTAGAACTGCCCCTTGGGGTTTCCTAGGCTGTCATCTTTATAGAAGCAGATGGCCAGGCCTTTCTTCTGTGGCACCACTGAGTGGGTTTGAACTGCCAACCTTTCAGCTTGTAGCCAAGAGCAAACTGTGCCACCCCAAGTGGGTTCACATCACCGACCTTTCTGTTAGCAGCTAAGCACTTCACCATTACATCACCTAAAAACCCAAACCCACTGGTGTCGAGTCACTTCTAATTCATAGGGACCCCCATTGGGTTTCCAAGGCTATAAATCTTTACGGAAGTAGATTGCCTCATCTTCTTCTCAGGGAGCAGCTGGTGGTTAGCAGTTTCTGTTTAGCAGCTGGTCTTCTGGTTAGCAGCCAAATGCTTTACCCACTGTACCACCAGAGTTCTTTATTTTACTGACTACATTTTTTATTTCTAGAAGTTCGATTGTTTGTTTTCAAATTATCCTGGTCTGTTTGCTATACTCTCCTTTTCTTTTATCATGGACTTTCTACCTTCTTTCTTCCTGTCTATATTAATTTTAGGAGCTCTGGTGGTGTAGTGCCTAAGGCATTTGACTGCTAACCAGAAGGCTGGCAGTTCAAACCCACCAACTGCTCCTCAGAAGAAAGATTGGGCAGTCTACTTCCATAGTGTTACCGCCTCGGAAACCCAAGGAGGGGTTGCTGTGAGTCAGATCCGACTCGATGGCAGTGAGTTTGGGTTTTTTTGGTGCCATAGTCGTTGAAGTATTCAGCTGCTAACCAAAAGGTAAGTGGCTTGAAGCCACCGACCACTCCATGGGAGAAAAGATGAGGCAGTCTGCTTCCGTAAAGATTTACAGCCTTGGAAACCCTATGGGGCAGTTCTCTTCTGCCCTAGAGGGTCACCATGAGTTGGAATTGAGTGGATTTTTTTTCTTTATTAATTGGCTTTGGTCTTTTCTCATTGTTTCATTATTATCTCTAGTTTTTCTTGGGCTGATTTTTCTGCTTATTGCAACTGCCAGCTCTCCCTCATGGTAGATGGTTTCCTTATGTGGTTTGTAATTTTCTGTTGTGAGCTCGTCTTTGGCAGAGGATGCTCTTTCTATGGGAGCCCTGTGTGCCTTGATTCAGAAAGTGTTCCTGTGGAGCAACTTTACAATTGCTTCTGTCTGAACCTTCGGGATTTCAATCATCTTGGACTGATTTCTAAGTTAATGTCTCACCTTGGAGTAGCCACAATGTTTTTGTTGTTAGCTGCTGTCAAATAGCCCCTGACTCATGGAGACCCCATACACAATGGAACTGGACCTTTGTGACCCATAGGGTTTTCACTGGCTGATTTGGGATGGCTGTCATCTTTTTGGGAGCAGATCACCAGGTCCTTCCTCCTGCAGAGCTGCTCGGTGGGTTTGAACCACTGACCTTTCAATGAGCAGCCAAGCCTTACTCAAGAATACACAGTATCATTGTCTCCACATTCCTAAGCACTTCTAATTCAAGTGAAATGAAGCTGTATCCCCCCCCCCCCGATATTTTTGGCTCAGATGTGGGGAGGCCGTTGAGAAGAACAAGCGCCTCATCACTGTGGACCAGAGGGAGTATCAGCAGGAGCTGAAAAAGAACTACAACAAACTAAAAGAGAGCCTCAGGCCCATGATGGAACGGAAAATTCCAGAGCTGTACAAGCCGATATTCCAAGTGGACAGTCAGAAGAGGTGAGAACCACGCAGAGGAGTTATCTCCCTGGAGCCCTCACATTAGGGGATGCTTGGCTGCAGTTGGTCCGTGGTGGACCCTCCAGGGTGGCAGTGGGCACCTGGGATCAGAACTGCCACCAGCATATGATCAGTTCTGCCTGGAGCCACCACCAACTGCCCCCCGCCCCATACCTTCCCCTGACCATTCAGGGGCCTCTCCGTGTTGGCCTCTGGCCAGGGGTCTTCCTACCAGGCAGGTGACAACCTGTGAGAGGTGTCCAGCCTCTTCCCCCATTTACTTCTTGGTCGAGTTCTGCATGATTGATGACCCCTTCTGGTGGGTGATTTGTCTCTTTAAAAGGCTAATTGATCTTCCTCACCCCTGCTTTTGTTTTATTTTCTTTCTTTCTCTGTTTTTCATGTCAGAGACTCCTTCCACAGATCTAGTTTCAGGAAATGTGAGACCCAGTTGTCACAGGGCAGCTAAGGAAAGCCGTCTTCACCTGTGGAAGACTGCAGCCCCAGGGAGGACTCACTGGCACTGAAAGTAAGACCTTTCCACCCAGGCCAGCTGTATAACCCCTAACCAAGTCTGGAAGCTTTGGGGTCTGCGGGACCACAGGAATCACAATGGACTTTGACCCGAAGTGGGCCATGCTGGAGGAGGTGGTGGAGGATGGTTCAGGGGTGCCTGTGTATTTATTAAAGTGTGTCTTATAAGGTTGTACCAAATGGGGCATACATGGCTTACCCTACTGCATGGGCACACACTGTCTGCACCGCAAGATAACTTCCTCAGGCTGGGGTTTGGACAAGGTTTGCCCTCCAGCCTATTCAAGATGAACTTAACCCCTCCCCTTATTATGACAGGGAAGGGGGCTCCTAGGGGAGTGGGCAGCATTTTCTATATATCTGTGAGGGGAGAAGGGGCTCACTAGAAATCTAAAAATCCTGGCTATTAGAAATTTGGGGTAGACTTGAGCTTGTTGGTGAGCTTGTTACCCTTTTGGTAAAGGCAACTGATGGCTGTATAGTTATATTTGCTTCATTGTTATCTTAAGTTAAATGAACATGTGTTTATAGAAGCACATAATACACGAAGCATTGATTTCAGAGACACGAGGTACTGAGAGGGATGTTGCGTCCACTCATTGAAACAGGCCTCTGGTGCTTTGTGATTTTTTCTTCCTGTGCGCTCGCTCTTGTTCACACTCTCCCACCCCCACCCCCCAGACCAAGTTCATTTTATAAAAAGATAATCTCTGCTTTCATATCAGAACACTGTGTTGTGTGTCAGCCAGTGTACAAAGTTGCATTCTGCTTTGCATTCTTTTGACAATGTACTTCAGGAAAAAGATGAACAAAGTTATTATTTGAAAATTAAATTATATATTTTTAATATGACTGATTATCTTGACTGATACTAAAAATGTGCTAAGAATTATAAGCAAAATATTTCCTCATATGACTCTTTTTTTGGTGACTCTTAACATTTTTTTAAATCGCCTCAAAGAAGAAAGAGACATCATCATGCTCTTGGTCAGAGAGTATTTCCCACAGTTGGTCCTCTTAGTATTTCATCTTTGTGGCTACAAGAGAGAATGTTGTTTGGATTTTCCACAACTTTTTGTTTGTATCATCAAGTTTGCAGGAATTTATATTCTTGAAAGAGGGCATTTAAAAAAGAAAATAACTGAAGTTATTTAGTTATTTGGTCTATTCACTCATTGTCTAAGGTGTATTATACATTTAATTGCTTTTTTAAATAAGTAGACAGGACAATGTGATTTTATTCCATATGTATTTGTCTATGTATTTAACATCTTCTGTGTGACATATAGGAGCTCTGGTGGTGTAGTGGTTAAAGCATTAGGCTGCTGACCAGAGGTCAGCGGTTCAAACCAGTCACTCTGTGGGAGAAAGATGTGGCAGTCTGCTTCTGTAAAGATTTACAGTCTTGGAAACCCAATAGAAGTCTTTCTCATAGGATCCCTGTGAGTCAGAATCAGCTTAATGACAGTGGGTGTGTGTCATAAAACATCGTTGCTGCCATCTAGTATCTCTCAGTATGTGTGTGTCTATAACACAACGCAGGCCACATCAGAGCCTATACACTGGAAGCTTTCCTGAGTGGCTCAGGGACCCATCGTTACCAAGCACCTATGCTGCCCTGAAACAAGAAGGTGCTCTAAGTTATGCAGAGAATCCCTGGTGGTATGAATTCTTAAGTGGGCAGCTGCTGACTGAAAGGGTGGCGTTCTGAGTCCACTCAGAGGTGCCTCAGAAGAAAGGCCTAGTGATCTCCTTCCAAAAAATCAGCTCGGACCCACACAGGATCACCATGAGTCAAAATCAGCTGGACAGCTACTTGAGATTTTTGGTCCATAAGTTAATAGGGCTGACCATTAACTCTAGTAGCCCTGGAAACTCTAATAACCTAAGATATTCCTGATGACGTGTCCCCTGTGTTTTGATCCCTAGTGTTACTTTTTTGTTTTCATATTTTCTTTTGTTACCTTTCTGGTACCTGGTGAGTGCCACTTGCTTCATGAGTGAGGAACTGTGTTCATTGCCCTGTTCTTGTCCCTTAGCCCAGTGCTCAACACACAGAAGACACTCAGTAACTATCTGTTGAATGAGTAAATGAATGGACAAATTGTGCATCTGCCTGCTTCCACAATGGCACAGCCCAGTAGGAAGGAAATGGAAGCCACATACGCGATTTCAAATTTTATAGTAAGAAGAAATAGATGAAATTATTTTTAATATATTTTATTTAGCCCAATATATGAAATATCATTTCAACATGTAATTAATATAAAAATTATTAATGTGACTTTTATATTCCTTTTTTCATACTAAGTCTTTGAAACCTGGTGCGTAACTTGCACTGACATCACATATCCATTCGGACTGGCCACATTTCAAGTGTGCAGTAGCCACCTATGGCTACCATACTGGGTAGTGCAGTTGTAGAAGATTTCACTCTTTCTGACTTGATGCCTCTGATCTGTGGGCTCATAGATCACCAAAGTACGGAAGAAGTGTCCAAAGCAAGAGTGACAGGATTCTGAGTGAAAGCCTGCAGGTTTGCCAGGAGTGAAATGTGTGGTACTGGAGAGTATGGCCTAGTCACTATTGGCTTCAGCTGCTCATCCACTGTCTGGGATAATGCCCCACCCCCACCCCACCCCAACTCTTTTCTCAATTCCACAGTTTCATTGTCCTTCACGTATCTGTGGCCCAGGAGTCAGTTCCAACACATGGTGACCCCAGGTGACACAGCAGAACTGCTCCACAGGGTTTTCTGAGCTGTAGTCTTTACAGAAGCAGATAGCCAGGCCTTTCTTCCATGGTGCCTTTGCA